AATAAAATCACTATTGGCTTCAACCACGGCTTATAGTCGACTTCGGAACTTACTTCATTTCTTCTCGACTGTCTACTTGTTTAAGCTGGTGATTGGTACCATAATCCTTTCTTTCAGTAGATCTTTGAAGTTACACGAAGTTGTGTTGGTCTCTCGCTTAACTGCGCGCAACACATAATAATCAAAGTGTGTTAGTTGACCGAATGTAAGAGGAGGGTGTAGTCGCAGAAATTGTCTGACAGTCTTGATTGTGTTTTCCTGCTTGTGTGGCAAGATGCAGAAGCCTGCTGCCAGACAAGAGACTTCCAGCAGCAACCCGCTTACCCTAGCACGAACTCCTCAAGATACTTGATGTAAGCCTCAGAGATAAACGTTGATTCGCGTTAAGCGTCTGAACGCTTATATTTTATTATAACTTGTATCGTTATTGCATTTAGATTTAGATGATTTCTACTTTTTTTTGTCGTTTATGTTTCCCAAATTTTGTCTGTAATAATTCTGTAATAAAAGAGGATAAACTCAAAGAGATTAAAGGCCTTTTTTATCAGGATCTTCACTCGGTCAGATCTTTACTTTTTTTTCTAAAGCTGCGTTTTCCAGATCAATGATTTGATGAGGAGGTTTTCCGTGGTGGACAAGTGTACCTAGGATATTCTTGTTATTTTTAGTTTTTCTTTTTGTATAATCTCTTTTTAAATTTGGGGATATTTCACCGATATGTTTTAACCGTAATTTACGTTCTTTTTTTATTTACCCATGTTTCTGATATAAAATTGGATCTGTGATTTTAATTCATTACATTAACCGTTTCTGAAGTTTTCGTGAAAATATTTATATTAATATTGGCAACAAATCCATTTTAAGTTTATTCAAGTCCGTGAACCCTCACTTGACTTAATCAACATTTACTGCGCGCCTATGATGTCAGAATAAGAAGGATTCATTTTTGCTGACCACAATCTTAACGACATACGCAAATGATACAGTGTTGATAACAAACACAGAAAAGAAACTAAAAGAACTCACACAGAAGGTATTAAAGGAAAGAAAGAAGAAAATAATATACATCAAGTGTATGAAGACATAATGAATGTTTGTCTGCAACAAGAAGCGCTCAGACTAGGAATTATAGATTAGAAGTATAAAAATCAAGCAATTCAAGTGTTGTAACAGAAGTCAAAAAATGCGATACCAAATTTGTGTATTTGGGTAGGAAAAGATGCCCACCAAAAGCTAAGCAAAGTAAGAGGAAACAACAAATTGAGTTAGAACTAGAAAAACAAAGATTACAGAAATGTTAGGCAATGTTGTCTCATCTATATGGTAGTCAATGCTAGAGAAGAAGAGGCTTAACATAAATAAAGTTCTAAAGAAAGGTGCTGGGGATCTCAGGGATTGAACACGTTAGCAACGTTGAAGTCTTAGATAAATGGGAAACAGAAGAAAGAACGAACGAATAACTGTAAATGCTTTTCAGAGAAAAATATTAGTAGAGATAGCAAAAGATAAATGTTAGTATAAAGACACTCACTTGTGGCGAGCAATGTTAGCCCATGTCATAAAAACATATGGCACATTGAAGAAGAAGAAGAAGAAGAAGAAGAAGAAGAACAACAACAACAACAACAACAAGAACAACAACAACAAGACAACGACGAGCTTGTGTAAGTGTTTGAAGTGACACGGTACATACAAGAGGTAGAAGCTCGAACGAAAGAACAAGTGTAAATGCTTGGCAAAGAAAGTATTAGGAGAGATTGCATAAAGACAAATTTTGAATGAATGTAATACATGAAAGACGAAGAAGAAGAAGAAGAAGAAGAAGAAGAAGAAGAAAATGAGCATATGTAAATGTTTGAAGTGACGTAAAAAGAAAAAGAAGAACACGAAGCAGAATACGAAATCCTGTAAGTGTTTGAAGTGACACGGCACATAGAAGAAGGAGAAGAAGAAAAGAAGAAGAATTAAAGGAGTTTATATAAATGCTTGAAGTCACATGAAGAAGAAAAAGAAGCTGAATAGAAAATTCTATGAGTGTTTGAAGTGACACGGTGCATAGATGATGATGATCATGATCATGATGATGATAAAGAAAAAGAAAACGAGCATATGTTAATGTTTGAAGTGACGTAAAGAGGAAGAACAAGAAGCAGAAAAAAAATAAGTGTTTGAAGCGACACGTCACTTAGAAGAAGAAGGAGGAGGAGAAAAAGAAGAAGAAGGAGGAGGAAGAACAGAAGGAGGCGGAGAAGGAAAAGAAGAAGAAGAAGGGGGAGGAGGAAAAGAAGAAGGAAGAGGAGGAAAAGAGCTTGTTTAAATGTTCGAAGCGGCACGGCATGTAGAAGGAGGAGGAGGAGGAGAAGAAGAAGAAGAAGAAGAAGAAGAAGAAGGAGGAGGAGGAGGAGAATAATAAGGAGGTGGAAAAGCACATGTGTAAATGTTCGAAGCGACACGGCATGTAGAAGAAGAAGAAGAAGAAGAAGAAGAAGAAGAAGAAGATCTTGTGTAAGTGTTTGAAATGAAGCTATGCAATTTATTTTTATTTTATTTTTATTTTTTTTTTGCTCTGGAAAAATAAGATTCATAAGTCTCGTCTTCTTTGAACTTTCTTTCAAGTTTTTGTTTTGTGGATATTATCCAATTTTTGTACACTTTTTCTATATGATAAGTATCATAGTGAAGGATTTTAGAAGTATTTTCAATATATTTTTCTTCTGGAAATAAATATTTAAGATTATTACTTTTAAGGGTTCTTCAATAAAGCCCAACACTATGCCAGATTTAAAACCAGAATCCATCCATCATTTGCTTAGTTATATGATGAGTATCTATCATCATGAAATGCTAGTGATTACAGCGAAAATATTCAAAATGATAATTCCTTCGTTTAGCTTTTCCCTAAATCATATGATTGATTCGTTTTCTACAACTTATAAAATATTTGCACGATGTTTAAAACCAGAAGATATTTTGAAATTGTGAGAGCTTTTTCTTTTCTTTCTTTCTTTTAGTTAATAGGGATTTACTAATACAAGTTTTACTAATTGATCCATATTTGGGAGGGAAGAGGTGGATTCATACCTTTCCCAGGGATATTTACGCGTAAGTAAATATAACGAAAGCACTTGGAAATTGGAACTTGTCTCTCCGATTAATAATTCCGAGTCATTATCCATTGCACCACCCCCAGCCGAGCTTACTCCACCTGGTATATTCAAACGTTCACCCATCTAGTTATTGACCAGGCTAGACGTTGCTTATCTTATCTCTACTGGAATCGGAGTTTCAACGTGATGTAACCGTAAGACCCCTGCCAGACGTGAGCTTCCATTACACTTTACAGCCCCCTATCGATTGTAATTTTAAGCAACATCTCCCGTCCTGAGTGTGACAATTAACTACTTCCGGCAGTAAGACATCTGATCGGATGGTTTTGAGGAGAGTAGTACAACTTCTTAATTGCTGTTGTTCCCAGGTCCATCCTGACTCGGGGTACTAGCACATGTTAGGGTCCCAGCTACGGGAAAATAGTTACCTCCCATCCAAACAAACACAATTTTTATATTCCTTAACAGTTACAAAACAGAAGATTGTTAGGACGATGGAAAAACTTAATAAAAAAAAAATGTTCAATCTTCTTTGTAGGATTTAATCAATGAAAGATGTTTGAAAGAAAGGTTGCTGGCAAAATATACATTAATAAAATTACATGACACGGAAGCCAGCAAGGGACATTGCACTAGCAAAACCCGGAAAATCTCGTGGAACGATAACTAACGATAGCCAACGAGAGGATACAGCATCGTAAAAATGAAATTCAAAAATACAAGGAGCTTTTCAAAAATACAATCAGCACAACAGAACTAACAACTACTGAACACTATCTCAGCCAAATCATTAGTATTTTAGACTTCAACCAACAACACAACATTACTAAAAGTAACTCTTCAACGTATACACTAGAAATTTAGGTCCTGTTTTCTCTAACTTTTCCATGTCTTATATTGAAAACCGTGTTTAAAACAATTGATAAACCAGAAATCTACACAAAGTACGTTCATGAGATTTTTCTTTTGATAAAAATAAGGATGAAATTATAAATGTAAAATTAACTTTTGAAAAAAGAAAAAACTCAACGCTAACATTTATATATGAACTCATGGTTAATAACAAAATTGATGTTGATATAGAACTAAAATCCAAAGAATTTACCACTTACCCTTATAGAAAACATCCGTACGAACACTTGCCTTTTAAATTAGGATAACCAAAGACCGGAAAGATATAAAATAGCAGTGATAAGAAACTTCTTCAATAGAAAACACCAAAATTCCTCTCCTCAAAGAAAATTTCTGAGAGAATTTAAACTTATAAAACAAACATTAGTCAATAATAATTTTATCAACTACATCATTTATGAACAAATATAATGGTAAAGGTAAATTTCTAAACATGTCTGATCACGAACTCATTGACCACCAAGTAGGAATTTTGAATGTCGGCCCGTATACGTAGATAGGAAGCCATTCAAAAGAAAAACGAAATATTCTACCAATTAATCCAACAGCTAACAATAGAAAAATTAATTAAGGTGCATCGAAATCGGAGAAATCTAAAAGCGGAAGGTTTGAAAAATTTTTCTCAAAACGGAAAACACAATATCCTCACAAACTCAAATCAAATGCAAAAGAGTTACACAACAGCTCTAATATCGTTATCAGACGCGCTGATAAAATCAATAATTATGTAGTATTCAACCGACAAAATTATAAAAAAAAAACAAACAATATAAGCTATCTTAGATGTCAACAAAATTCACTAAAGTAAGAGAATATCCCACAAATCCATTAAAAAAAATTACATAAATAAACTTATCACAGTGAATAACGCTGAGGTTGATAGTTAAAAAACCAAGAAAATTGTTGGTGATTACCAACCTGTATATATGTAAGTAATGTAAAAACTCAAGACCTGGTTTTCCACTCCGGCCTATATATTAAAAATACCTACACCTGTATACCAATTATCAAAAATCTTTAATCCCATAATTTCTACATGCACACCCAAAAATTACAACATTGCATCAACAAATGAGTTTCTCTATATCATAAAAGCAAAACAATTCCATCGGTAATACTCTAGATTCTCTTGATGTTGAACATCTTTTAGCAACGTCGCACTTGACGAAACACTCAGCAAAATTATTGATTGCGTTTACAAACTCAATCTCTCCTCCTAAAATTCGACCAGAACCTCTTTGGAAACTTCTCCTTGCCTGTAAGCGGTACGCTCCATTTTATAATCATAATTGCAAAACCTACATTTAAACTAATGTTGTCAGTATGTCCAAACTACATCATTGATAAACCAATAAAATTATTCTTACGAAAAATACACGACACTAGTAATAAAAACACTACAAAAGATCATCAATATATTTTAATGTAACAAGATGCACAATAATCATCATTAAACGCCATGTTTCTGTCGTAATTCCCGAAAAACACAAAAAAATTTATAACATATTGCAGGAAATAGAAGACCGAAGACCTTGTGGTCACTAATCAAAATAAATCTATTAAATATGAACTCGCGATGACCAATATACTGTATCAATTTCAATGCACTGTTCAAGACAGTGTTTCTTGTCAAAAAATAAATATCCATATCTGACACACTACCACCTCCTTGAGTAGACGTCGTACTTTTTACTTGTCTGATCATAGTGCCATTAAAAAGTATTTAATAATACATAATATACACGAACGTTTAAGGAAACTTCTAGACAAAAAACAAGAATTCTATATAAACCACATTATCAGAAGCATCTCACTGTTCGAGAGACCCTATTTATCTATCAAACAATTATCTCTTATCATCAATCTTATATTATTTAATAGTGGAAATGTATCATTTGATGTTTTTTTTTAAATAAAAATAACAGAAAGATGCTCACTCGAATTCCAGTCGCGCACATCAAGTGACAGCTTCGAATGAATGCACCTTCTTCAAAAACAACACAAACAAAATTTACAGCGTAAAAGTCAAAACATGAGGAAAAAAAACGGAGCCAAAACAGCCTTGAAAATCGCTATAAAATTTAACTTAACTCCTACAAAATAGAACAATGTTAGTATGCTTAATTCAGATTTTGCGTTTGTTTCGGCCTCTGTAGTATCGTAATTTTGCACAATATATTAATATTTGTTTAATTTTAATGAGCGTAATATAATTTATTTGTGATGATATGTTCGATAAGAGCACGGATTAGATAAGTGACAATTTAACCGTCGAACTAGTGTGGTGTTTTTGTAATCAATGCAATATCTTTTTAATCATTTCACACCAAAGCAAGTCGTTTATGCCACCGAGATACAAGTGGGTTTAGTAAGAGTGAAAGTGAATGAGAACACTAGTGATGAGATAGGGAAATAAAAGACGGAAGATAGCGCTTGACGTTGCCTCTAATTTTTATGTAGATTGTAGGCAGCAGGATAGCAAGTAGCCGAAAGTGGGTCCCACAGAAAAGAAGTGAAAGGAAATAATCTATTAGAATAGAAATTACGCTTACATGTAGCTAATAAATTAGACAATTAGACAATGAGACCCATTAGCTAATCTAGTAGTACATTTAAATTTATACAGTCTATGTACCAAAGAGCAGATTTTATTAGATCAATGAAAGTATTTATAAAACAGTCAGGGGAAAGACAGATTACGGAGGTGAGAAAGTATATAATGTCGAGATGACGGGTCACAACCGATAACATGACAGACCCTTGTTTGAATTTTTTTTTCGATAATCGCCTGACTAGACAAGGAGAACCATGCAAGATATGGTAGCAATATTCAATGCACAGACAAATGTTCGATTTATAAATGTGTAAGATGGATTCTGAAGAGAAAGGTTATTTGCCACGTAAGTTGCAAACAACCAAGTTACATAATGCAGAAAGATGGCCAGAAAAATTGAACACCCAGGGGGGGGGCATACGGAATGCAAGATACGCGAGGGGAACCAGTGAGTAAAATACTTAACGAGTTTGAATGACTGGATGATACAACAAGGGAAAATAAAAAAGTGACCCCAAGCAACCAAAGAAAGAATGCCGTGGACACCCGTGATCGAGTTAGAAACTCAAAAACATATTGGACTGCTAATGAAATTTATTTAAAAAAATAAACAAAATTCTAGGATAAATTACAATTTCGTTTATCATATTCTAACCTAGCATTGAAAGAATTGTTTCAAGTAAGATGTGCATACGGCCGTATTACGTTGAAATATCGGTTCTGGTACGTTCACCGAAGTTAAGCAATGTCGAACTTGCTCAGTAGATACATGAGTGACCTCTAGGGAATACCAGGTTATTTCAAGTAAAAATAACTCATTTAGCAACTGTTGGCAATCAATTAGAGGCATCCAAATTATACGGTACAATGATGGTGAAATTTAAGGCTATTTAATTAATCGCTATACAAAGGGGTCTGAAACAAGAG